TCATCATTCAGATACATCATCATTCAGATACATCATCATTCAGATACATCATCATTCAGATACATCATCATTCAGATACATCATCATTCAGATACATCATCATTCAGATACATCATTATTGTGATACATCATCATTCAGACATGCATCATTATTCAGATACTTCATCATTCAGAGATACATCATTATTCAGATACATCATCATTCAGATACATCATCATTCAGATACATCTCATTCATTCAGATACATCATCATTCAAGATACATCATCATCATCATTCAGATACATCATCATTCAGATACATCATCATTCAGATACATCATCATTCAGAGATACATCATCATTCAGATACATCATCATTCAGATACATCATCATTCAGATACATCATCATTCATCATCATTTCAGATACATCATCATTCAGATACATCATCATTCAGATACATCATCATTCAGAGATACATCATCATTCAGATACATCATCATTCAGATACATCATCATTCAGATACATCAGATACATCGATCATCATTCAGATACATCATCATTCAGAGATACATCATCATTCAGATACATCATCATTCAGACATACATCATCATTCAGATACATCATCATTCAGATACATCATCATTCAGAGATACATCATCATTCAGATACATCAGATACATCGATCATCATTCAGATACATCATCATTCAGAGGTACATCATCATTCAGATACATCATCATTCAGATACATCATCATTCAGATACATCATCATTTACAGATACATCATCATTCAGATACATCATCATTCAGATACATCATCATTCAGATACATCATCATTCAGATACATCATCATTCAGATACATCATCATTCAGATACATCATCATTCAGATACATCATCATTCATTCATCATTCACATCATCATTCAGATACATCATCATTCAGATACATCATCATTCAGATACATCATCATTCAGATACATCATCATTCAGATACATCATCATTCAGATACATCATCATTCAGATACATCATCATTCAGATACATCATCATTCAGATACATCATCATTCAAATATATCTTCATTCAGATACATCATCATTCAGATACATCATCATTCAGATACATCATCATTCAGATACATCATCATTCAGATACATCATCATTCAGATACATCATCATTCAGATACATCATCATTCAGATACATCATCATTCAGATACATCATTCATTCAGATACATCATCATTCAGATACATCATCATTCAGATACATCATCATTCAGATACATCATCATTCAGAGATACATCATCATCATTCAGATACATCATCATTTCAGATACATCATCATTCATACATCATCAGATTCAGATACATCATCATTCAGAGATACATCATCATTCAGATACATCATCATTCAGATACATCATCATTCAGAGATACATTATTATTCAGATACATCATCATTCAGAGATACATCAATCATCGTTCAGAGATACATCATCATTCAGATATATCATCATTCAGATACATCATCATTCAGATACATCATCATTCAGAGATACATCATTATTCAGATACATCATCATTCAGATACATCATCATTCAGATACATCATCATTCAGATACTTCATCATTCAGACATACATCATTATTCAGATATTTCATCATTCAGAGATACATCATTATTCAGATACATCATCATTCAGAGATACATCCTCATTCAGATACATCATCACTCAGATACATCAGATACATCGATCACCATTCAGATACATCATCATTCAGAGATACATCATCATTCAGATACATCATCATTCAGATACATCATCATTCAGATACATCATCATTCAGATACATCATCATTCAGATGCATCATTATTCAGATACATCATCATTCAGAGATACATCATCATTCAGATACATCATCATTCAGATACATCATCATTCAGAGATACATCATCATTCAGATACATCATCATTCAGATACATCATCATTCGGATACATCATCATTCAGATACATCATCATTCAGATACATCATCATTCAGAGATACATCATCATTCAGAGATACATCATCATTCAGATACATCATCATTCAGATACATCATCATTCAGATACATCATCATTCAGATACATCATCATTCAGATACATCATCATCATTCAGATACATCATCATTCAGATACATCATCATTCAGATACATCATCATTCAGATACATCATCATTCAGATCATCATCATTCAGATACATCATCATTCAGATACATCATCATTCAGATAGATCATCATCATTCAGATATACATCATTCATTCAGATACATCATCATTCAGATACATCATCATTCAGATACATCATCATTTCAGATACATCATCATTCAGATACATCATCATTCAGATACATCATCATTCAGATACATCATCATTCAGATACATCATCATTCAGATACATCATCATTCAGATACATCATCATTCAGATACATCATCATTCAGATACATCATCATTCAGATACATCATCATTCAGAGATACATCATCATTCAGATCACATCATCATTCAGATATACATCATCATTTCAGATACATCATCATTCAGAGATACATCATCATTCAGATACATCATCATTCAGATACATCATCAGGATACATCATCATTCAGATACATCATCATTCAGATACATCATCATTCAGATACATCATCATTCAGAGATACATACATCATTCATACATCATCATTCAGATACATCATCATTCAGATACATCATCATTCAGATACATCATCATTCAGATACATCATCATTCAGATATATCATCATCATTTCAGATACATCATCATTCAGATACATCATCATTCAGATACATCATCAGATACATCATCAGATACATCATCATTCAGATACATCTTCATTCAGATACATCATCATCATTCAGATACATCATCATTCAGATACATCATCATTCAGATACATCATCATTCAGATACATCTTCATTCAGATACATCATCATTCAGATACATCATCATTCATTCAGATACATCATAGATCATCATTCAGATACATCATCATTCAGATACATCATCATTCAGATACATCATCATCATTCAGATACATCATCATTCAGATACATCATCATTCAGATACATCATCATTCAGATACATCATCATTCAGATATATCATCATCATTCAGATACATCATCATTCAGAGATACATCATCATTCAGATACATCATCATTCAGATACATCATCATCATCATTCATTCAGATTCACATCATCATTCAGATACATCATCATTCAGATACATCATCATTCAGAGATACATCATTCAGATACATCATCAGATACATCATCATTCAGATACATCATCATTCAGATACATCATCATTCAGATACATCATCATTCAGATACATCATCATTCAGATACATCATCATTCAGATACATCATCATTCAGATACATCATCATTCAGATACATCATCATTCAGATACATCATCATTCAGATACATCATCATTCAGAGATACATCATCATTCAGATACATCATCATCATTCAGATACATCATCATTCAGATACATCATCATTCAGATACATCATCATTCAGATACATCATCATTCAGATACATCATCATTCAGATACATCATCATTCAAATACATCATCATTCAGAGATACATCATCATTCAGATACATCATCATTCAGATACATCATCATTCAGATACATCATCATTCAGATACATCATCATTCAGATACATCATCATTCAGATACATCTTCATTCAGATACATCATCATTCAGATACATCATCATTCAGATACATCATCATTCAGATACATCATCATTCAGATACATCATCATTCAGATACATCTTCATTCAGATACATCATCATTCACGACGAGCGAACGCCTTAACCACTAGGCTACCCCACCGCCCCTAATCAAATGAGAAGGCAGTTTATGTTTGATCCTCAGGTGAGTTACATTACCACTGATGGCGAGAATGAAGGCTAACCAATTTCGAAGAATGAAAAATAGTAACAAATATTAATATCAGATCTGTTATTCCGAAATTTTAATTTTACACCGCTCGACATACTTTTCAACCAATCCATAAATGTATGGGTTCTTGAACTAGCTTTCATGTCCTTACAAACCGAAGCATGAGTCTCATGAACCAATTAAGACAATGACGTACTTTTCAGCCGATCCGAAATTTCTCGTATGAAGGTGAAAAGAGACACTACAAACAACTATGGTTACACCAAATTCTAATTCCTTGTTTCATACGAAATGGGATTTTCAAATGAATTAAATTTTTAACTATAAAAAAATCGTATTTCTATATTTTTGGGCGAGGTTCAGGCAGCATGACGTTAACTAAGACGTCACAGACTGCCCCTGTTTGATGAGGTCGTATAATGATTCACAATTCATCTGACTCATTGGTTACACTTGTTATGTGGTCTTTGCGCTTATTAAATGTCTTGTGGTAACGTACAATGTGATTTATATAATATCAAGGCCGTACAAGACCGCCAAACCTTTCTAGCGGCCGAGCCTCGTTTTGAGATTTCCACGAGCAGAAAACGAGACTGCTGTGTAATCAATGTTTTGACTTGTTTCTTAATTCGGACAAACTCTATTTCAGCATAAAAATGCAACGATAACATTAATATATGCTTGATGGTACTTCCTTTGGACGTAATGCCATGGCGCTCAGAAAGGACAGCGTTTAGCTGACAATGTGAGCAACAGAATTTCCCTCGCCTGTGATTGTAATTTGATTGGACGGCTGTTTTAGAATAGTGTAATTCGAAACAGACTCAAGGAACAGATATGGTTAATAGCAGTGTTATCGTCACAGATGGTAGAAACTGAACTGAACTGAACTGAACTGATAAGAAACTTCACATGTGTTACTTTATGTCCCAAACACTGCTAGTAACCAATAAATGTGAAGTTTCTTTTTTAGTTCAGTATATATCGAGGGTGAGTCACTCAAAGTGTATTCATTTCAGGAAACGAAACTAAAATGTAACACGGTTTTTATCAGTGATTTCAAAACAACGGTAAGCTGACAAAGCCAAACATTATGACACCGTGGTTCTGGAAAGAAGAAAGTCAGAGTGAGTCAATGAGTGGGTTATGTTTAACGACACTTTGGACAGTATTCCATTTATATCACTGCAGGTCCGCTTAATGTGGGATGAAAGTCCGCTTAGTGAATGTATATGTGAAAGTGATAGTTTTACAATCAAATACTTCATTTTCTTTGTAATTCAAAGTAACTGATTCGTTGTGATTAAAAAATGACTGTTTTCGAAATGTCATTCCAGATTTGCTCAGTGTTGCTAGAAAAATAGAAACACTTTAGAGCATGTATGATTTACGTCGTTTTGAAAAATATTTCATTTGGAAAGCGGCATGTCAATTTCATACTTGATATGGGAAGACATCTGGAGATGATGCACGACCTTGAAGTATCACTTCACCATGTATAGCGCTAACAAACATAGAAATATAATCCACTCTGGGACTCGAACCTTCGATCGGCATACCAAAGGGAAGCAACTCTGAAAGTTAATTGCGAATCAGTAGACGACTAGGCAGTCACTTCGCTCCCACCTATTTTTTCAATCTGTATAAGTTTTAAAAGTAACAATTTAAGGATAATCTGTGTTTGACAGCATCCCTTGTATGTTTCAGGATTGTGGTTCTTCATCGCCATCTACACTATAATATTACTAGCAGTCTTCCTTACTCTGCCGAAAGATTATATCTCCTATTATATACTTGGTGGAAAACTCGCGGATATGTCGCAAACTCCTCAAAGAATTAAGAACGGTTCCACCAAAGCTGAGATTGAAAGTATAACTCAAGTGGACCAGCTCTTGACTTGGGACAGATACAGCTCCGTAACCGTGGATGATACTACAAATAAACACAACAGTGGAATATCCACTGAAGCAACATCAGCAGCAATATCAACAGCACCACCAACATCTGTAACGACCCTCACGGAGACACACAACAGAGGAACGTCTGGAGCACCGACAACACAAGCATCAACGTGCAAAGACCCGGACCTTGACCTCATCCGTAATAACAATAGGTTCGTGTGTTGTCAGCCCGTCGGTGGTCTGGGAAACAATATGTTCATATACGCCTCGTGTTATGGCCTCGCAGCCTATTACAACCGGACGTTGGTGTTCCCCAAATCCAGCATGCTCACGAAGTACTTCAAGCTCAATGCCCACATCATTCAAGACAACTGTGCTTGTAACTCAGCTAAGTTCTACCTAGAGAAGTATAACTGCGGCATGGATCCAGCCCTTTTGAATTTATCCCCTAAAGAAAATATTAAATTTGGGTATTACTTACAGTCTTGGAAATATTTTGTAAACGTAATGGACGATATTCGGCGACAGTATACCTTGTCCAATACGACATTGTCTAAGGCTAGAGATATCATCAGCAAACTATCGATTGAGCACCAGCAAAGGACGAAAAGATTATTTAAGAAACAACCTGTTTTAGTTGGGATACATGTTCGACGAGGAGACATCAATTCAGAAGCTCGCCTTATTAAATTCGGCTATGAACTTGCAACACCCGGGTTCTTTTCCCACGCAATGCAATACTTCCGGAAAAAGTACGCGCATGTGCTCTTCCTTGTGTGTTCATTAGAAATGGATTGGACAAAGTGGTATGTCACCGGTGACGACATTATCTACGTGGAAGGCAACGAATTCATCACGGATATGGCCGTGTTGCTCAGCTGTGACCACACCGTGACGTCTGTTGGGTCGTTCAGTTGGTGGGTCGGTTTTTTGAACGGTGGGGAGACTGTTTACTACCAATGGCCTGCAAGAGAGGGTTCAGAACTGAGGAAGCAATTCTCAGCGAACTATAGTGATTATTTTCTACCTGAATGGATTGGTTTGAAATAGGATACGATACATTGTTTAAATTAGGAATGTGAGCGAATTGAGCGTTCAGACCTGAGGAAACAAGTCTAAGAGAATTGTGCTGACAATTTTCTGCTAGAATGGATCGGTTTCAAATAAAATTGGATACACTGTGAAAATGAAGAGTTTGTGAAGTAAGGATTTGGGCCTGAGGAAGCAGGTTTCAGCGAATTATAGTGATTATTTTCTACGAGAACGGATTGGTTTGAAATAGGATTGGACATAACGTGTAAATTAAGAGTGTGAGTTAAGTAAGGGTTCAGACCTGAGGAGTGAGTGAGTTTGGTTTTTCGCCGCTTTTAGCAATTTTCGAGCAATATCACTGCGGGGGACACAATAAATGGGCTTGACACATTGTACCCATCGGCGTGATGAGCGAACGCTTTAACCACTAGGCTATCATGCGCTCAGCAATATTCCAGCTATATGGCGGCGGTCTGTAAATAATCGAGTCTGGACCAGAAAATCCAGCGATCAACAGCATGAGCACCAATCCACGTAATTGGGATACGATGACATGTGTCAACCAAGTCAGCGAGCCAGACCCGATGCCGCCTCTTACGACAAGCATGGGCTTTACGAAGAGAAGCATAAGTTACCTGACATTTAGACTCAGAAGACAAGTTATCCTATTTGAAACTACCTATACGAATCAATATTAGAGCTGAGGTAATGTGGACTTTTTAGCTGAGTTCCTGTTGTTAATCTCTCGGGTCTGGGAGACGAACAGCTGTTTACCGGGATGCATGCACTCGTCAGCTCGCTTGATACACGGGTCCACTCTACCCGGTTTTATCAACAAGAAATATGATGGCAGGCGCTTGCAACAGTGATAAAACGATGATAATTGTAAACTCACTCACAATCCGATGTGTATTGATACTCGGGTAGCATACATCAGCGCGGTATTACATTTGTCGCCCAGTTTGTGAGTGAGGTTTTTTTTAGCAATATTCCAGCAATACCACAGCGAGGGACACCAGAAATGGGCTTCACACATTGTACCCATGTGGGGAATCGAACCCGGACTAAATAATATAAGGTATACGCAGGGACCAAGCGTTTACTTCGAGACAACGTAGGGTCGACACAGAGATATTTGACAATAGTACACTTTCCAGTGTACATATTCCAATATTTACAATAAAATCACTTTTACTCGATCAGGCTGTTCTGACAATTTTATTTTGCTTCTGTGTTATTGTCTTTCAAACGTTGAAACGTAATGAAATGTTGGATCTGAGATACCATTAAAGAAACGTTTTTGTGAGATAGAATAGGTCTGAGTGTTTAGATGAGGCTGGAACTGATCACTGCAACTCATCTGATACAAATGATGTATGTATGGGTACAATGTTACTTCCTCATGGCGAGGAAAAGACATTGGCAGAGGATTTCAACACCTTCTTCAATGAGAAGATCACGAAACTACGAGGTGATATTGATTCTTCTTCTGAGGATGTTGTATTCGGGGAGCCCATTGGTACCCAGCTCAGTTCATTCCGTCCAGTAACAGAATCTGAGGTCAAGAAAATAATGCTTTCGTCAAAACCAACTTCATGTGAGCTTGATCCTATCCCGACAAAATTCCTTTTGAAAATACTGGATATCATTTCTGCCAATCATTACCAAGATCATCAACCTAAGTTTATCATCAGGTTGTGTACCATCATGCTTTAAGCGAGCTGTAGTCAAACCACTCATCAAGAAAACCACGCTTGACCCTCAGAGTCTAAAAAACTATCGTCCTGTCTCAAATTTGATGTTCATGTCTAAAGTTCTGGAGAAAGTAGTCAAACAACAACTCTCGGATCATCTTTCTGGGCATAACTTGACTGATTGTTACCAATCTGCCTACAGGCAGGCTCACAGCACAGAAACTGCTCTAAATTATGTCTTGAACTCTGTCAGATCCGCAGTCGACCATGGTGAATCTGCTTTGCTTGTCCTCCTGGATTTATCTGCGGCTTTCGACACAATTAACCATGAAATTCTTCTTGAGCGTTTGGTGAAAGAATTTGGTTTGACTAATACAGTTCTTGACTGGCTAAGATCCTACCTTTCAGACAGAACCCAGTCCATTCACATCGGAACGTCTTCATCATCCAGTCACACCCTAACCTGTGGAGTTCCCCAGGGATCAGTTCTTGGACCAACTCTTTTCTCCCTGTATACTCAACCGCTCGGAAAACTGATGTCTGCTTATCATGTGCCTCATATCATTTCTATGCGGACGACAGCCAATTGTTTGACAGTTTTAAGTCGTCAGAACAAAGTCAGTTAGAGTGCAAGTCCAACCTTGAAGCATGCCTCTCGAGCACAAGATCCTGGATGTCTGCTAACAAGCTGAAACTTAACGACTATAAAACAGAAACAATGGTCATCTCCACAATCTCAAGACAACGAAACCTTATCATCAAAGATATCTCCATTGGGCAATCTTCGATTCCTTTTTCTCCTCTTGTGAAAAACCTTGGCGTTCTTTTGGACTCAAACCTCAGCATGGACAAACAAATAAATCATCTAGTAAAGACCTGCCACTACCATCTGAAGAACATCGGCAGCATCCGCAAAGTCCTAACAAAGAAGCCACTGCCACCCTTGTGCGGACACTGATTTTATCCCGCCTGGATTACTGCAACAGTTTACTGTTTGGCATCTCTTCCTCTCAACTCCATCGTCTTCAGAAAATCCAGAACAAAGCTGCACGCATCATCACTCTCACCAGTCCTCGCTGTCACATCTCTCCCATCCTAAACTCTCTACACTGGCTCCGTATTCGTGAAAGGATTGATTTCAAGATTCTCTGCCTCACCTACCAGTCTTTCTACAACTCAGGACCTTCCTACCTTCAAGACCTTCTGACACATTACTCTCCAGAAAGAACCCTGCGCTCATCACAACAACTGTTACTTGCTGTCCCGAGCTACAGTCTCAAATCATTTGGCTCAAGGACCTTTTCATATGCAGCAGCTTCTCTGTGGAACTCTCTCCTATCGAGTTAAAATCATCTCCTTCCCTAAGTACATTCAAAACACGACTAAAGACTCATCTATTTCTTCGCTACAAGTGACTTCCAATCATCCGTACCTGCCAACTGTATATAGTTTTAACTTGAGCTCAGGAAGCGCTTTGAGCATATCCCTGTGACGTGGAAAGGCGCTATATAAATGGCCTATTATTATTATTATTATTATAAATGCTACAAGGTAAATCCACTGATTTCAAGAATTTCAAGAATTATACAACTGAAATATACTCATGCCAATAATGGTTGTCACCCCTGCCCCCACACACACACACACACCTCACAGGGGTGACAACCATTATTGGCATGAGTATATGAACTGCCTTGCCCTAACTGTTGTAACAACAGTGGCAAGGTGTGTAAATATATTTTAATGTGGTGAAAAACAGGTACATATAAAATATATCTGTGATCACTGTTTGCTCAGTTGGGAGTAATTTACAATTTCACAAAGCATCCGCAATATTGCAGCCATATCGCGTTATTCAGTTGTAAAAATATATTTCTGTGTTGATAACAATTGCAAGAGACAAGCGGACCAACTTTTGAGTTCAAAAGGTGGTTGTGTGAATTTACCACACCCGGCAAACACGTGTGTATAATGTTTATGTTTGTTTGTTTGTTTGTTGTGAAACGCCGTACCCAGCAATATTCCAGTTATACGGCGGCGGTCTGGGCCAGACAATGCAGTGATTGACATCGTGAGCATCGATCCACGCAATCGGGATACGATGACATGTGTCAAGTCAGCGAGCCTGGCCACCCGATCCCGTTAGTCGCCTCTCACGACAAGCATGGGTTACTGAAGACAGATTCTAATCTAAAGGTCTTTACAGGTCGTGTGTTTAATGTGTAAATCTGTGAGGATTACCCATCAAGATTTATTCATGATGTTGGTGTGGATTTTGTATGGGTTGTAGTGGGTGCTTGGGTTCGTGAATGCATGTGGCCGATACCGCGAATAGGCTTATTATGATATACAATGTACTCATTGTGGGATTCGAACCCAGGTCTCCGGTGTGAAGAGAACGTGATTTAACCACTAGGCTAGCCCACCGCCCCGACAGACAGAGCATTGCTTCATTTTTTAGATACAAAACATATTTTAATTGTGCATTTTGACAGAGAACTGTAAAGAAGACATACCCTTGGGTTATCAGTCGTACCTCGGGGACAGACGAGGCACCGTTGCCAAGGCGACGGCTCTCAGAACCCGGAAATTAGTGATTGTGTATTTACGTACCAAGTCAAAATACATCACCTTCATGCAGTGAACCTATTGTTTTTTAAGGCCAGTCTCAATTACTGAACACAGCTACAGATGGAATTATGCTGAGGTTAACACACCATTCACTCACTTGATAGGATTAGGGGAAGGAAAACAAGCCTTGCTAAACGTTACACAAGGTAATATAATCTGCATCCAAAATGATACACCTACATCTAGTCTCGGAAATATTTTACAGAAAAAAACACAATTTTCTTAATAGACCATTTCAAAAAGTGACCCAGACTATGATTTTTCGGAAACTGCAGTAATCTAGACAAACAATTACAGACTTGCATGTGCTTTATTGGACGTAATTCTAACAAAGAGGATCGCCGGTCGCTTGTGAAGAGCAAATACAGGCTCTTTGACTGGCTGTATAAACGCGTGTGTTGACAGGTCTTGTAGAAGATGTATTAATTTACAAGCAATGTCGAGTGATTATTAAGCTCACCGTTGGTCTCATACTGACATGAACGCTCAAAGTAAACATCAAGACGTGCCTTTCCAAACAAACACCATACAGTTATCTCACAATAGGCGTTGGATGCCTTAATCTGGTACATACTTACGAACTCTGCTTTTTATGGATTTAATATCGCAATGTGAGGCATTTAAGGACAGGTGGTACAACTGGCCCTCACATTTAAATAAGCGGGCATAAGTCGATAGGAAAAACACAACTGCAATATTTGATATAACGGTATATGAACGATAAGATTGAATTAGTCTGTGACGGAGTATATGTATAATGTTTTACTTGTAAATAACGTTAGACAGTGCAAGTCTCTCTTTGGGGTGATAACTGTTATTTCGGAAGGTGG